TTTGATATTTCATATTTTTGAAAATTACTTTTGAACTTGCAATTATTCATGGATATCAAATCTAAATTTATTTATTTTTCAAGAGAGTCCAGGTTTATTCGACCTATTTGCTAGGTAAGCATAATTTAAAATAGTCTAGTGTTTCTGTATTAAAATACTGGATCTGTACAGAAGACACCTGAATTTTCACGGGATGATTTATAGTTTAATAGCTGGCTCTGTCAACAACACGGATAACTGAGATAACAAGCGAAGCGATGAATAAACCCCTGAATAATTCAAGATACTGTGCAAAACGCCACGCTCTGCAATTGATATCTACATTTTTTGAGATACGTTTCGTTGAAGAACTATATCCATTTTGTAAATCAAGCTCTTGATTAAAGTGCACATTCACTGAAAAATTCGATTTCTGAAACGTCCGCTCTCTCAGAGGGAAATTACACGAAGTAATATAAATTGAATTATTCTGCGAATCGCTGAACCGGTTATTTAGCCGCGCATGAAGAACTTTGGTCGGCACCTCTCGGGAAGGTAGAAACAGCTTTCCTACGTATCTCGACGTCTGCGCACTCGTTCTAAGCGCCACTGAAGTGATCGATGGTTAACAGCGCAATAATAGTAGCGGCTGATCCAGCAGACGTTGTAGTCTAACGGGGTGCAGACGCCGAGAGAGCAGCGTATCGTCTTGGCGAGTCCCATAAAGTAAATGGAAAAATATAACTTCTTTACTTGATAAGTTTCGCGATCTGTACAAATGCGTCTACACGCAATAATGTAACTACGGTGCATCTGATTAAATGCATTTTTTTATTCTACCTCAGGTGAAAGTAACTGAAAACAAATATTAGCTCGGTTTGACAGAATTATATAACATAAGCACGAATAATAATAAAAATTAAACTCTAAACAATCAAGTGAAGTGGGATGGTACGGGAAGGGTTTAGTTTGGTTGATCCTATTATTCTGGATTCATCTCCAGTTCATGAGAACACTTCTTACTAGGCCTAATTTGACGAACAGGATCTTGTTCAGAGAAACATCCCACTTAGCTGGAGTCCATAGCAGAACAAGGAAGAAAGGAGGATGTAACTGAATACCATGTGGTTGCTAGGCGGAATTCTTACTGTTCTTGCTTTTCTTTTAGGTAAGAACTAAAACTACACTCTCGATTTGTCAGTTTTGTTACTTTGGTTAATGTATCCTTAACGGTTTTATTAAAACTATATTTCGTATTATATAAAACGCAACTTACTAGAACTTTCTATTAGAATTATGCATTTAATCGCATTCAATGAATTTGTGAAAAAAATTCGAACAAACTAGACGCTAAAATATAATTTGTTTCATTAACGTCTCCGTATTTACTAGGTGCTGTATTTGTGTTTCCTTCTACATTCGTTTTGTTAATGTTCATAAGAAAAACATATGCATCTTTATTACATCATGATACAATAGTAATAAGCCTAATCTAAATGCTATGTGCTTATATATGTTACATAAATTGTTTTGTTCTTTTTTTATTCTATCAAAGAAACAAACTATGTTATTCTGTTATCCTTAAATTACAACATCTCTCTGTATCTTGTTATTCTTCCTATTTATTTGTTGATAAAAATCAACTCGTGTTTGCGTAATTTACTCTCTCTATATATATATGACTTAAAAATAGCAAGTATTTTAAACATAGGTTTAGTTCCTGGTTATTTATTAGAACTACCGCGTCATGAAAATACAAAACAAAATGATACAGTTCAAAATAGAGGGCGCATTTAGACATTCAGACGATAAATGCAGATGGCGCAGTGTACGTTTCTAATTGACGTTGATATATTGCATGGAGATTTTCATGTGTTATATACGTACGCTTCTTGAAATTTTGAAATAACACTTAACTTTTCGCGTCTTGTATGTTACGATTCTTGTCTTGAACTACATTAATTAGAAAACACATGAGATTCTGATACCAGAAATATTAAAGCGAAATTTGCCATTACATATTTACTCGAAACAATTTGATTTACATTTTGGAAAACAGTCTGATATCCTGAACATTTCTAATAAATAAAAGTTCGTTTTGCGTTCATTGAAAATTCCCTTCGAAATTTATTTCGATCAAAAGTTTATAAATGTCTATAGAAAACGAGGTGACATTTAACCTCAGTTGAACATTCGTTAAAAGCTAAGAATATAAATAGTTTGTATTTAAACTAAAGCTACATTGAAGTTCTGCTCTACTTCTGCTGATAGAATATACTTGTTACACAATAAAAATAACAGCTTTTCACGTGTGTGGTGTTTACATTATGGATATCTGCACATAGGTTGAAGAGCCTGGTGACTTGTCCAAGGGATCCATATAATACATCTCAACCACAGCTCTCGAAACTTCCACTTTTGTTAAAGTTAAGTTAAATCTTTGTTGTGCTTTTACAAGACACATAGAACATGTGTTTTCGAACTCCCGGTCTGTCTACCTTTACAAGACACATAGAACCTGTGTTTTCGAGCTCCCGGTCTGTCTACCTTTACAAGACACATAGAACTTGTGTTTTCGAGCTCCCGGTTTGCCTACTTTTACAAGACACATAGAGCCTATATTTTCGAACACCCAGTTTACCTACCTTTACAAGACATATAGAGCCTGTGTTTTCGAACTTCCGGTTCAATTGGTATTTGTGGATGAGAATGGTAACTACCATACAGAAGGGTAGACTGGAACAAGTGAGATAAAGGACAGAACAGCATAACGCGGGATTCGAACTTGCAACCATCCGACTACGAGTTTTTAGCGCGAAACCACAGCTGCCACTTTTGAGAGATATAAAATAAGTACTTTTTATTCGCAAGAAACCCTTTGATAATACTCAATACTAACTCGCATAAGTCCACTTATAAAACACACAATATTAATGCTTTGGGGACACTCTTTGAGGTCAAAAAACCCTTTGATAATACTCAATACTAACTCGCATAAGTCCACTTATAAAACACACAATATTAATGCTTTGGGGACACTCTTTGAGGTCAAGAAACCCTTTGATAATACTCAATACTAACTCGCATAAGTCCACTTATAAAACACACAATATTAATGCTTTGGGGACACTCTTTGAGGTCCCCTGCGAAATGTACAGTCTTAAGCCCGGTTGAAGGAGCTAGCGATACTATCAATTGAACAAGAACGATCAGAAAAAAGTGGACTTAAACGCTGTGGTGAAGTAAAACTAAAAGAATACTTAGCATTTTGTCTGTTTATTAAGCTATTTGTCTGCTATTAGAAACGCCCCCTCAGTGGTACAGCGGTATGTCTACGGAGTTACAACGCTAGAAACCAGTTTTCGATACCCGTGGTGGGCAGAGCACATATAGCCCATTGTGTTGCTTTGCCCTTAACTACAAACAAACAAGCTATTAGAACGTAAGGGCTTCACAGTTCAATTGCGTTGGTGTGTATTAACCCTTTGACTGCGGCTGCTTTAAACGTGCGCAGAATATTTGCGACCCGTAAACTGTATACAGCGGACCGTACCCTATACGGCGAATCAGCAGTCAATGGGTTAAAGAACGACACATTCGGACATATATTTTACGTATTGGGATTGGGCCTTTATAAGGCTATGTAAGTCATTTCATAACAGCCCTAAGTAACTGATGACCTTGATATCGTATAATTATAACAATCAGGTAGATGTATTGGAATTAACAGCAATATTTAATAAAAGGAAAGATTATGTGCACGTGACATGATAAACTGGGATCATAATTTCTATTGACACTCCAGCTTACTACTAGGAACGCGTTCATAATCTGAATGGTAATATGGTAAGCACACCAGTCTGTTGAAACGTTTACTGTCAACATTCTCCACATCACAGGTTTGTTTTGAATTTCGCGCAAAGCTACACGAGGGCTATCTGCGCTAGCCGTCCATAATTTAGCAGTGTAAGACTAGAGGGAATGCAGCTAGTCATCACCACCCACCGCCAACTCTTGGGCTACTCTTTTACCAACGAATAGTGGGATTGACCGTCACATTATAACGCCCCCACGGCTGAAAGAGCGAACATGTTGTGGTGTGACGGAGATTCGAACTTGCGAGCCTCAGAATGCGAGTCGAGTGCCCTAACAACCTGGCCATGCCGGGCCCCACATCACAGACTACTTTACTTCCCTCTTAACCAGCCAGTGAAACGATATATACATACATTCTGTACCTGTCAGAACATGGGAATGTGTGAACAAAAACTATATCTGTCAGAACATGGGAATGTGTGAATAAAAACTATATCTGTCAGAACATGGGGATGTGTGAACAAAAACTACACCTCTCAGAACATGGGAATGTGTGAACAAAAACTATATCTGTCAGAACATGGGAATGTGTGAATAAAAACTATATCTGTCAGAACATGGGGATGTGTGAACAAAAACTACACCTCTCAGAACATGGGAATGTGTGAACTAAAACTATACCTGTCAGAACATGGAAATGTGTGAACAAACACTATATCTGTCAGAACATGGGGATGTGCGAACAAAAACTACACCTCTCAGAACATGGGGATGTGTGAACAAAAACTATACCTCTCAGAACATGGGGATGTGTGAACAAAAACTACACCTCTCAGAACATGGGGATGTGTGAACAAAAACTACACCTGTCAGAGTATGGAAACGTGTGAACTAAAACTATACCTGTCAGAACATGGAAATGTGTGAACAAACACTATATCTGTCAGAACATGGGGATGTGTGAACAAAAACTACACCTCTCAGAACATGGAAACGTGTGAACAAAAACTATACCTGTCAGAACATGGAAATGTGTGAACAAACACTATACCTGTCAGAACATGGAAACATGTGAACAAAAACTACCGGCACGAAGAAAGACCGCGAACAATGTTACTCTTAACGTTAACTCAATACTAGATGTTATCTGTTTCCGGTAGTATAATGCGTGAGTGTTTTATAACGGGATAAACACGTATACTGATATCTGATACATCAGGGTCGGTCCCTGGCTGGCAAGGGTAATACGAATCCCTAAGAACGCCTGCTAAACAAGTGTCTCAAACGTTTTCTAAAACACTTTGTGGTATTACGATAAAATTGATTGCATTCCTGAGAATCGAACCCCCAAAAATATAGATTAGTTACTTATGTAGATATGAAGCTATCACAAAATACGAACTCATTTGTTATCCAAAGATAAAATAGTTATAATTCCTCAATGCGAAATCACTATAAAATCACTGAACTGTGATTTGGATTCCCAATTACTACAACCAGGAGTTCTTTATACGCATTTGTTACCACTCAGTATTATCCACATTTTATGCCAGTAATGCAGACCATAGGTTTCGAATTAATTAACTGGCAAGGAATGAACGCGTACAGTAAAATTCAAACGAGTTTGTACCAATGAAAGCGTAATAGCTGAGAAGTAAAAAAAAAAAATTCAACTACAAAAAGCCTATCACCTTGAATCATTAATTTGAGGAAACATGCTTGGATGAACCGGAATGTTATGTTTAATTCGAAATAAATTTGCAAAATAAGCATTTTGAATGACAATTTTAATTCCTTGTTTGGATCAGCATACAGGAACAGCTTGTATTTTCTTCTTTTATGATTTAATGCGTTTGTTTGTTTCAGCGCAAATTGGCTATAGCGAGGAATCGAACCATGGGTTTTAGCGTTGTAAGTTATTTTGCTTACCACTAATTTCCCCCCCCCCCCAGTGGCACAGCGGTATGTTTGCGGACTTACAATGCTAGAAATTGGGTTTCGATACCCATGGCGGGCAGAGCACAGATAGCCCGTTTTGTAGCTCTGTGCTTAACTTCACACAAAACAAAAAAAACACTACTAATTTTATGTTAAAATAAGACTACTGCACTTAGTAACAGACACATTGTATTACACATACATACGTATTCATTTCGTTCTTGATCTGCTAATAATTATTTCAAAAGTGTTCGAAAAAGTTCTAGCTCGTTGCCCATCAAAGTTAACGGCTTGGCAACCGACGTGATTATAATATTAACTGCCAACTCTTTCTACAAGTACTGATAAGGTAGAAGCATATCTAGCAAATGCACATTAAACATTCTTTGTATTGCTTCAACTCACCCGCTAGAACTTAATCCTACACAAATTATTATTTTTTATTAATTATGAAATCAGATCGGCAAAAACTATGGGACTTAAATTTTTTGATGTGTGTTTGGTGGAGTTTCAGCTAATTATGATAATTCGTTTGAATATAAAGGCTTTGAAAATTACCGCCGAAATACACATACATTTACAAATTTACACATACATTTACAA